TTAATAATTTTGTTTTAAGTCAATATTTGTTGGTGATTTAGGTGGATATTCTAACAACAATACAACCATGTTCATCGAGAATTATTGGCAACGACTGTTGACGATTCTGATTGAAATAAATGTGTACACCATCGTCAACCATTATGACATGTCAGAAAATTGATTGATATTAATGTATGTAGCGAACAAAGAAATAATTGAATTTTGCTGATTTTAAGATCGTTCATTCAAATTTAAGGTCAACAAGATGCATACAAAATCAAATCAAGGAATCAAATTCTCTTGAAAAAGAGATCTTCAAAGTTCGGTGACACTCCAAAACCAGACGTTGAAATTTAGTCACGCATGATATCAATAGAATGCTTACTTTGTGAAAAGGGACAAAATCATTAGATTCAGATTGACTTTTGTTGTTACTTGTTGCCAAGGACAATAATACAGACAGGCACATAAGCCTTAATTTGGCCTGATAACGTTAAAACTAACGAAAATCCAAAAAGTGGAGGGAGATTAGACTTGACACTTACCTAAAACACTGAAAAGCAATAATGATAAAATTATAAACTCCAAGTTGAGAACTCGGCCAAATAACAAAGACGGGAAAATTTACTGTTGAAATATATACTCCACGAGGTGTATGCTCTTTATAGACTCAACATAATAATTAGATCATTGTTGTATACATTAGAAACTTGGAAGAATCGTTTAGATTTAGATTGAGGTATCAAATTTTGTAAACACAATTTTAGTTTTTTGTGAAATCCTCCCATTCTTTCAGATAAATCTTGTGTTCTAGTGTGATCCATTATTTTCATATTACTCATTATTCTCGTCTTTATTATTTGGTTACGTTCCAATTTATATTGATAACATCTTGCCACTCCACCTTTTTTTGAACTTAGAACCCCTTCAAAATAAATGCAAAATATATTTTAACCAACTAATCGTCCCACTTAACCCGTTTGGGAACCATTTTCTCAAGAAAATACTTTTGGAATAGTAAAAAGTTTGAGAATGTGTGATAAAAAATAAGGAAAAGTTTTTGATTTACGTGTAAAATTATTTTATAGGAAAATGTATAGTTGAAAATGAATGTTGAAAAAAATGAGTTTTTATAATAATGGAGCCCAAACATTGGCTAAGTCTGAAATCACTTCCATGTCGTATTTGATAAGGATGGTTCGATGATACCAGACAATGCGAAAGAAAATAATGCATTGTATATAGTACTATCGGCATTGTGTATCGTCTTTGTCCAAGTGGAGCACTTTCCTCATGTCAATTATCCCCCGTTTGGCCTCCATTATTTACTTTTTTAATTTTTGGAATAATATATTTTTTTAAGAATGTGTGATTAAAAAAGAAGAACATTTTTTTGGTTTATATTAGATATTATTTTATTAAAAAATATATTATTGAAAAGAACATAGAGAAATGAATTATAATTTTAATGAAGGTCAAACGGAGCTCAGTCTATTCCCTCGTAGTTGCAGTCCCAAAACATGACCATCCGGGCCTCAGAGGTCAATATGTTGCATCTGGGCTTGCAGCTAAATTCCAAGGAACTGGTTACCATTTGATATCTTTGGATTTTTAATGTAAAAATTGCTTCTTTTCCAGCAAGAATTGTTGTCCAAAAGGACAAAAACAAACCATATTCAGGAATGATAATGAGGCAAAAATTAAAAAATCTTCATTTTCTTTCTTATTATTTATTATTTTTATTTTTAAGAATACGATTTAAGTGTAAACTCATAAAAAATAATAAATAAGAATTGAATTGGACAATGTTCTCCGTCCTTAACCCTATTTCTCAACAGGGCAGATGGGACAGACCAGGACGACAGAGTCCGAGCATTTTGCCACCCAAGAATACGACATTTCCTTGACTCCCCAAGAATATATTTTAGTGCATTAAGTCAATGACATATCATTGCATGAAAACTCTGTGAAGCACATGAGTAATTTACCACTTTCTTTTTGTTACTGAAAGGGTGCATTCTTCCCTACTTCCACTGGCTACTGGATATGATTATCGTCTTGAAATTCTTTAAGAGGCAGGACAAAAAAATAGTACAAACACCGAGGATGGCAAATGAGAAAGAACCAATAATGTCGCCATAAAATGTTGTTACATTGGAAATCAATAACAAAGTTACTTTATTTTCATCGAACTTTCTTCTTAGTTTCATGCAGTAATATGATTCGACTCTTGAAATAAAAGAGAACTTGGCTCGACCCATGACTCGTCTTAAAATGAACCCTTTGCCATCCCTAACCACGCTTGTGCATATTCATTTATTCTTGAATATGTTATAGGTTGCTCATTGAATTATTATTCGTGTTCTATTTCATATCTTTTTTTACTGGATCATGTGAGAGAGACATTTAAGATTGCATCACGGGTTTGGGTGCAATTGAGTGACGGTTTGAAGTACGTGCACGTCGCCGATGTCAATACATATAGCTATTATGTCCATTACCCTGGTCTTTATCGCTATATGGGCACCTACTGTCATGTTGAGCACTACGATGCCAACTCTTTTGTCCACTTGTACACCAATCACTTTCCCACAGGGCAGTCGAGTTTTATTGTAACCTAAGATGTTGTCTGTTGTATTTTTAGTTTTAAAGTTTTAAGTATGTAACAGAGGCGATAGAGAGGCTATGCTACACTGTTGTTTACCATTGTAAACCCCACCTCAAGGCTGGTGTAGTACTATAAAGGATTAATCCCTTTGTGCATGGTAACCCCTACACCCTCTCACATGAGGTGGGTGTCATGCAGGACCCATCTCAATAAATAAGTAAACAAAATTACCCACCCAACCCATCTATGTGTGTTATCTGTGGGGAGGGTCTGTGAACCCCCTATCTTTACATGAAGCATGATTATAGAATAAAATGTGTGTTTCATGTTTCACAATTAGAACCCCCATTTGTACATGAAGCATGATCGTAGTATAAAATGTGCGTTTCATGTTTCACAATTAGACTCTAATATGATGTTAAATCAACGGTTAGGAGTAAAAAAAAAATATTCGACAGTTGAAGAACAAATGTTTCCGTGAATAATTGTAAAAATGAATGAATTAAAGAACATTATTTACAACCCTGAGTTCAAGGTTGGGGAGGAAAGATTTACGAATGGAAGAGAGAGAACCATCCGCGACGACATGCAAATCACCTTCTATCAGTCAGATTGAAGCACTTCAGCTCTTAGACAGATTTTGCGCCAGAGATGCAAAAGGAGAGAAAAAAAATGTTCTCGTAAAAAGCGTGAAATAGAGTGGTAAGATCATCCATCTCTATCACTGTTTGTGCATGTGGGAACTTTGGGGGGTGTTTGATACTCAAAAAATGTATTTTAAATAGTGATGTGATGAAAAATATGTGGTTAAAAAAGAAAAAAAAATTTTGAATGTGATGAAAAATATTATTTTATTAAATGAATTTTGATAGAATGTGGATCAAACAGGGACTTGATTCTGTGGTGCCTGGCAATCACTAAGATTTTGAATGTCCCATGTGACATTTTAAAATAGGTCCATTTTTCATAAATATTGTGCCATTTAACTAACATAATAATAAAAATTTTAAATTTTAAAATTATTATATATAACCAAAAAAAAATTTAGCGCCCTTACAATGCCGAGAGCCTGTGCAATTGCACCACTTGTGCACCCTCAAAACCGCTTCTGCTGTGGTGGGGTGGGGTTGGAGTGACGAACAACAATGATTATTTGTAGGTAACAAAAATTCGAAGAGACATGACAGGGATACTCTATTAATTCTTACGTTAAAACTTTGTCCCAAGTCCAATTATATTTAAAGTGCATTTGATTGCGAACATGAAATTTATATAAAAAGAAAATAAATTTTAATTGCCTAAAAATTATTTGTATGAAAACTAGTAATTAAATGTATTTGATTTCTTAACTTTTCAGTCTAGAAAATAAAAACCACATCTTCCTCAAAAAAATATTTTCCCTCGGTCATGTGACCAAAATTAGGAAAATATTTTTCGCGCAAAAAGTTGACGATCAAACAGCAAAGTAGAAATTAGGTAAAAAAAACACATTTTTCATGAAAAATATTGACAATTAAATGCACCCCTATATACATACAGAAAGCTATATCTTTACACGACCAACTAGTTTGGGTAGCTCTAGTTACAACTTGCACCTTAATATCTATTATATATGTACAGAAGCTTAATATTTTTGACGCTCCAATTGCGTGGCACACAGCACGATTAATTGATAGTCCACCATGTCTGAGCTGGGTGATCCGTTCAGTATGCCACGCCACCAGAAAAGCTATCTCCGTCGTGAAGGAGAGATTCTGTCAGCCAATATCCATCCCAAGAACCCCCAACTCTCTGAAGACAGTAAGTCACAACTGAGTTTAATTATCAATAAGTGCAGAGAATAAGGATTTGTACCTTCCATTGTAAGAAAAGATATTCTGAAGAGATAATACGACAAATGGAAAAGGAAAAAGTAGAACAACTAACCCAAAAAATAAAAATAAATTAACTACATTTGAGCGGATTCCAAAACGACGCCACAATTTATTCGTGCGGATTTGAGCCAAAGAAGGAAATGAACCCACAAAATAAATTTCACTGAGGATTTTCCAAATAATGAGATGGAGATGATTCCCCCAATCCTAAGTCCCATTCCCCTTCTCATATCCTGGTCAAATCGTGTAATCTTCAACAGCCATATGAAAAGTCGCCAGTTCTCGAGATCAAATTGGTACCCTCAGTCTAAATTTGTATTAATATAGAAGCAATTAAAACAGTTCCTTCAACTTGCTGCATCAGAATGCCAGCAACCATTGGCGCAGTCAATTATTTCGGAAGAGAACCCCTTGTTCCCTGGAATGGACCTCCTTTGGGTCATCCCAGCGAGTAGAGCTCCCGCATCAATCAAAAATTATTCCCCCGGTCATGCTATCCCTTCTGCTCCTTCATCTCTCATAGACTCGCTATGGATTAAAATAACAATTTCTGTCACAATATTTTGGTCAAGAGCCGCTTATTGGGAAGACAGGGTTTAGAGTTATTTGACAAAAAGTTCAGGACAGTGATCTCAAATTGTTTCAGTTTCTACCACGTTCAGATCCTTGGCATGAAGATCTAAAGATAAATATCAGTAATCAAAAGCAATGTACACACCTGAACCATCGTGAATTGAAATATTTCTTCTTCCTCGGGTCGAGCTCCTCGTACCCAAACTCGCTGCTTATAGCGATTCTGTTTCACATATACTTACCTTCAGAAGAAAGATAATGTAAGTTGTCATATGGACAAAATAAAACTCAATTACCTCCTTCACAAGTAAATTGCTTAAGATTTTTCTTTCACGGTGACCTAGCAAAACTCGGTAGCTTGAATGGTGGAAGATCCGCCTGAACCGTTCAAACTGCTCAAATGAAAAGTCAATATTTTAGGAACAGTGCATTTAGTGCATAAGGGACTTGGATGATTGAGCAAATTTGAAGTGCTTCATTTTTTCAATATATAAGTACTACAACACTTTCCAGGTGGTGGCAGCCAAAAATAGTCGGAATTGTAAAAACAGCCAAAGTAGATTTCTCAATATTTTACTTACCTGCCCTAAATCAAAGAAAGGTCCAAAATAGGTAGATCTTTCAAAAGGATCGAATCCAGCAAACTGATGGGACATAACATCAATGTGATCATGATAGCAACAAGTGAAAAATATCGTATCAAAATCAACAAATACAAAGCCAGAGATTACCCTATACATGACTTCAATCCCATAATCTGGGCGAGGTTGGTCATTGAACATCAATGCATCAAGCTGGTATCGTACAGCTTCCTCTGCACTAAACTATTACAATATAGATTTTAATCAACATGCTAAAAGAGAAAGGCAGCACCATGTGCTTGAATGAGTTCTATGGTTTGAAGATTACACTCAATCTAGGACCAGAAGGTCTTTTCCTGTGAGACTCAATCCTGCAAATGTACATTGCAATAAATCAGAACAATAGATGTTGATCTGGCAAAAATTCATGCAGTGTCAAGGGTCTAGATTTTATGGCCCAGTGATTTTAAACTAAGCCCATCTAATACATTAATAATGGTTTGATATTCATATATTTATTCAAATTGCTAAACCCTATTGTTTAATATTTAAAAAAGAGGTGCCTTTGGTGAATTGGTTTCTGTAATAGACGTGTCTTGATGGAAGACCAGGGGTGGAGCCGGGAAAAGACGTTGAGGTGGGCTGAAATTTTAAAAAATGAAAAAATAAAAATAAAAATCAATGAACTCACACCATGTGAGATGCTCTATGCAACACTAAATCTAGTTTAAAAGACCAAGCTCATGATACTCATGACAAAGTGAGTTAGATGCTCAAATAAGTATCAACACATCAATCCTTAAGATGTCCTATTAGATTTTCGTAGCTTTTCTTGCCAAATAAAAAATCGATACCTCCCTAGAAAAAATAAAATGTGCAGAAGCATGATAGACGTGAATGAATGATGTATACTCACCAATAAAAAATGAAGAAAAACCTATTGAGCACCATTATGAGACTCAAGGCCTAAAAAGAACAAGTAATTCTAGCTATTAAAGGTTTTTAGTCAAAACACACCGTTCTGAAAATACTATCTCATATAGGCATTAGTCTCCTATATCAACACATTTTAATCCCACTTGAAGCAGTAAAACTAACCAAGAATATCGAGAGTCCACAGAAATCGGATTTATTTCGCATTTATGTCTGATTCACTTTAATAATATATTTTTAATAATATTCATTTATAAATAAATAAATTTTTAAGAAATATTATTTATTTCTACTGATAAAGTTAAATATAAAGCAAGTTACCTATTTTAATAATAACATCTATTTCACGGTCAATAAGTATTTTTTAACTTATAAGTATAATTAATTAATAAATGAAACATACATAAAATTTAATTTAATTACTTTTAAGTTTTTCATGGTTTTTTTTTCCCTCACATATTTTATATGTATGGTTAGTTTCACTATATAATTTTCTTGCTCAAAGCCTACTAACAGGGATACACTTACTGATGTGGAGAGGTTAAAACATCAATTAATCTAATTTTATCCTCTCATTTGGGTTTTATTTCTTTGCACTACTGCAGCAAAAATAAGTTTGTTCTTTGCATTTCACTTACTACATTAAATTTTGAAAGAAGTTCTATTATTTTGAGCAAAAGATTTGGAAGTGGCAAATTAAAAAATTTGGTCCATTTAAGAAATTAAGCTGGAAGTGGGCAAATAGTAAAAAGGGTGGATAGTGGACTAATTCTAAATTTAGGCTAAAATATAACTTTTTAAGAAAAATAAGTTACAAAGGAAAATAGAACTTGGGCCAAGCTGTGCTGGGCTGAAGCCCAGTGCAGCCTCCCCCCATATCCGCCCATGTGGAAGACACTTTTTCACAATTCATATATTCACAATTTGGTTCTTCTCTCTTCCTATTTCACAGTATGTCGTTTTCCATCACTCGCTTATATAAAATTAAGAGGGTTTAGAGATGAAAGTCAGATTTCTTCTTCTAACTTCTATGTTCAATTTATCTTCAAGGGATCTGTCAAAGATTTATCAAGAATTGATCAAGGTATGTCTTTCTATTCATCTAATATTGTGAAAATCTTTCTAAGATTCTGAATTTTAGGTCATGCATTTATTGTTTCTGTATGAATTAAAGTTTACAAAGAGAAATTAAAGACCAAATTTGCAGAACTCTAAATCCAAGCCAAAGGCGAACTATAAAACTAGTTTTCAAAGATATCCGTGCAAGAAGACAACAACCATTACAAAGTCCTACGGACTGAAAAGTCTTGAGAACAGATCCCCTCTCCTACTTAATTCCAATTGTTGGGCCAGCCTTGCCACTTCCCAAGAAAAGAAGCATGCAACTTAAGTTTTTGGCTAAGCTTCTTTTTAAGTAAAAAATTAAGGTAGTGGAATTCATGTTTGAATACATTTTATTTGTAAGTAAAAACAAACTTATGTTTGGAAATGTTATTTACTTTTAAGCCAAATGGAGGTGTCAATTACAAAATGCACTTCTTGTTGTTTACCAAACAATAAATTTTACATCCCCAATTTTTTCATAGCCTTTGAATCCATTCTTATCTCCTGGTTTCCAGGGAGATGAGGAACTCTAATCAAACTGGTCTTATTCTTGTTGAGAATTTGTCTTTCAGGAATCAAATTGAGAGTCTGCACCCATCCACAGAAATGCATATTCTTGACAAATTTTGAGAGTTTCTGATAGTGGGCTTGTAGGGATTTATTGAAAGGGAGAGGCATTGCCTCGTTGGGATCAGGATTATTCAACTCGTCAAACTCCTGAAATAAGCTACCGTTTTTTTTCACAGCAAGGCAGTTGGAGGTTTTTTGGCCGGTCTTTGAGCTCCTTTAGCCTTGAAAATAATCATTTTATTTTTAAGTTATGCATGATTTGTAAAATAAGATGCTTAAAAGCATGTTATGAACGCTCTGAAAGCGAAGACAGCGACTTTTAATGAGTTTGTTCTTTGTGGAACAATAAAAGTAAGAAAATATTCAATTAGAAACCCTTTAAACCTAAATACATTAAGGATACAAAAACATTACTTACACAACACCATGAAATAAATCAAAAACCCTTAAAGAACACCTACTATTGTCTTCCTTTATATTAATAAAACAGCCAAGAATTCGCAACGACTCACACACTCGAGCATATACTAATCATACAGATATATTGATTACACAGGATATCTACATGGATCAGTGATGGAATTGAAATATATTAGGATGGACCAATTTTGATTATTTTTTAACACTGTTTCCTTATTTTAATCATTTCTTGCACTTATGTACTTATGTAGGTTTTAGGGGTTTTCTTTGCCTAGATTTTCTATTCAAACACTTTGTCTATTATCATATTAGTTGGTTGTTTATTAATAAAATTATATTTGATGCCCAAATCCTCGATATTCAATTAAATTAACGATTTTTTGTAGTGCTAATCATATTCCACAGGCAACTTGTTTGAGATGAAATTATTAGGTAAATACAGACATAACATTCTGATAAACTTCAGAGCTCCAAGTGCATATAATTAACATTGGTAAAAAAGAAAATTTCCCAAAATTTATAATTTCTTTTTTTTATAAAAAATACAAAGCCTCGTATATACGCAGAGATATATATAGATAGGTAGATAGATAGATAGCAGAGAGAAACCTACCAATCAGGAGAGAGAGAATCGGGAACGTCAGAAGCTGAAGCTCGAATTCGGGGGCTGAGAGGTTTGAAAGGTAGGGAGAGTAGAGATGCAGCAAACGACATCGTTTCCTCTGCAACTGGCTACAACTGTTTTTCGTTTCAACCCTGGTGGAAGATCGAATGAAGGGAAGCGTCGTTTGTGCACATGAACTGAAGTCGTGTTTTACCCAACGCGTTCTTGCCAATTGTAGGTACGGTGAAAATGTAAATTTTTATTAATCGAGGTGGGTATATTCAAACCGTAATTTTTATTAATTTTTATCATATTTTAACTATAATGTTTGGATAGAAATCACCATCAAAATCAAAATGTGATGATTAATTGAAAGTTAATGATCGAATACAAAACTTAGGGACCCTTATTGCAATTAAAGTACAATGTGGATAACAAAGTCTGTAGCCTGAATATATTATTTAATTCTACTTAATTAAAAACATTTTTTCTATTTTACATTTCTTCCTCTGTAAATACACATTTAGCCTAGGTTTGGTTCAGCTGAAAAAATAGATTATTTATAAGTAAAGGACAACTATTAATTTTAACCTTTATTTAGCCCCATTTTTTCAAAAATTCATTTTCAATTATACATTTTCTCGTTAAATAATATTACACGTAAATCGAATTTTTTTACTTATTTTTATTTGATTATTCCAGGATTTCTTGAAATTTTGAGCCAAGCTTATCAGATTTTCTATGAAAAGGTACATTCTTGAAAAGTATTTAATTTTAATCTATACTTGGTTTAATCTCATTGTTCCCTCGTGTTAACGGAGAATCATACACACATTTTAAATTAATTTCAGGCTCTCTCTCATTCTCGTTTGTAACATTCATTTTCCAGAAAATTGAACTAAAATCCAAAATATGAGT